ATATCCATAGCAATGTGATGGGCATTATTCTCCAAAGTACATGTATGAAGACAAAAAAAAATATTCATAGCAAAATTATTAGATTAATGCTCATAAAATATAACAAAATATGAAATGCCATTTTTTAAGGTATTGAAATGACAGGCAATCTTCCTTTTCTCTGTGTTCATCTAAAAACTTACAATGAAATCTCTACAATGACACACCTTACAATAATGGGACTTGGAACATAACACAGTTTCTGTCTGCTCTCTGCCTCGCCCCAATTCTCAAACAGGGACAAGTCCAAGTTCCTCTTCAGGAAAGAAGGATTACTGGCAGGGAGGGCAAGGTCACAAGGGAAACAGCAGGCAAACCTCTTTGGGAAAACATATGTGGTATTGGGGAGTGGGGGTAATTGTCCAATCATCCCAGATAAGTCAAAACAGGCATCAACTAACCAATGCTTCAAGGAATAGCTATCGCTGTCCAGAAAGTTCTAGCCAGCTACAGGATCTTAAATCATCATCAGTGATGTTTAAGTCAGAATGAACAACTGCCATTAAAAGGTATGGAACCATGGCCAGGACCTGGATAGATCCCACAGATGAATGGATAAAGACCCTTCAATTCCAGATTATCTAGTTACACAGGCTTATGCTAACCATTTCATTAGTCTCACAATAATTCAGCTCCTCATTTCTAATAATTGGATATTTGGGAACTCACTTATGATATCATAGCAGCATTTTATTGGATTTCTTTCATAATAAAAAATCTAATCTAAGTAAACTAATATTATTTTTAAAAACTATTCAATTCATTCTTAAGAAAAAAAAATCCACCATACAGAAATTTTTAAATCATTCTCAAAATAATAATGGTGATAAAATAAAAATTTAAATGTAATCAAATAACATGGAATATATATATATATATATATATATATATATATATATATATATATATTTAAATATGGATACCATGTATTCAAATTTAAAGAATTAGTCTAGAGCTGCTTGCCTAGAATGCAGGAGACCCTGAGTTCAATTCCTAATACAAATAAATAAATGAATAAATAAATGGAGCTGGGCATGGTGGCACATGCCTGTAATCCCAGCAGCTTGAGAGGACGAGGTAGGAGGATTGAAAGTTCAAAGCCAGCCTCAGCAACTTAGCAAGACCCTAAGTAAGTTAGTGAGACCCTGTATCAAAATAAAAAGTAAAAAGGGATAGAAATGGAACTCAGTGTAAAGCACCACTGGGTTCAATCCCTAGTACCTAAAAATAAATAAATATCCAAAGCTTTATTCAAAGGAAAATTCATAGTATTAAATATCCTTTTACAAAGGAAAAGGAGGAAATTACATAAATAAATCAAGCAGGCACTACAAGACATTACACTGGGGAAAAATGATATTTTAAAATAAAAAAGTAACATAAAGGAAATATGGAGATACAAGAGTTAAGATCTAAATCCAAAAACTTCTTGTTTGACAATGACAGATTTTTGGCAATTTATCTGGAAGAGAAAAAATCCACTGTAATGGGATAATATTTTTTAAATTATTAATATATTTTCTCTTTTGTTATTTTTTTTTTTTGAGGGGAGAAAGGGTACAGGGTTTGAACTCAGGGGCACTTGACCACTGAGTTTAGAGACAGGATCTCACTAACTTGCTTAGTACCCGGCTTTTGCTGAGGCTGGCTTTGAACTCGCAATCCTCCTGCCTCAGCCTCTGAAGCTGCTGGGCTTTTCTGTCTTTCTTAATACATGAGTCTTCCAGAAGCATTTAGAAACATCTTTGGGGGTTGGTGGAGAAAATAAGACTTTTTTAATAAAGAAAGAATGCAAAGAGAAAGTATAAGGTAATATTCTACTCTAGACAATGCAAAATAGAATTTGCTTCAGCTCCAAGAGATTTCTCCTATTCCCCTCCTTTAACACACTAACCACATGACCTAGAAGAAGCCATTGTTCCCTGAGTTTTCCCAGTTCCTTCCCCCTGACCCCCACAATTTGCCATTAAAGCTTGCATTTGAGTCATGACAAAATATGAAGCAGAGGGGAACCGGCACATTCCTATCATGGAGTACAGGTGAGAGGAAGCAACAAAAAGGTAGAAGAGAGTTTGGGTTTGGAGAGAAACAGGTGGGGGCCATAACACGATAACATCAAGGACAATAACAGAAGGAAAGGAGGTTTTTGCATCCTCCTATCAAGATTCTGGAAACAGATCACCTCTTGAGCAGTCCCCTATTTTGAAATTAATTGTGAGTGGGGTCCCATCTTGGTGGAACACAAGGGAAGGAGGCCCTGATATTTAGTTTCTTGAACCAACAATGGTTAGGTTAGATGGTTCCCCTAAAAGGCTAAGAGACTGTGGAACTAGCTAGCTAGAGCTGAGAGAGATAGTATTGTAGCAAAGGTCAAAAAAGTGACAATCTAGAAAAGGATCCACAGAAACCCTTCACCAGATTCCTTATAGCATCAGTGGGCACTCAGATAACTAGGAAGTACTAACAGGTGTAATGCCTGACCAAAAAAGAATGAACTCCAAGCGGAAGGAATCTCATACCTGGCTATTGAAAGGTGGCCTGTCTACCAGATAGAAAAGGTATAACATCACTCCGAAGAACAGAGGAGTTAAAGTGTACCATGATCTTGAACCATAGGCTCTACCACTGAGCTCCATCCCCAGTCCTTTTTATTTTTCATTCAGAGACAGGAACTCGCTAAGTTGCTGAAGCTGTCCTAGAACTTTGGATTCTCTTGCCTCAGCTTCCTGGGTCATTGAGATTATGGGTGAGTGCCACCACACCCACCTAGATGTCATTTTTAAGTGAAAGGGTATATTGGGAGCAATGTGAGATATAAATAATTTGTTAACAGAGTAAATATTACCAGAAAGAGTTTTAAGGATTCATACGTACACCAACTGGCCCTGCACCAATAAAACGCTGCACTGCAGAGAGATTAGGTGTGGGATTCCGGGTCCATGGATTTGATTCCGAGTAGCACAGTTTGGAAATCTATAACTTAGGGTAATTACTTAATTACTTAATTTCTCAGTGTTTCAGTTTCCTTGCCTATAAAATGAAACAGGGTTTTCTTACTATTTCTAAGGATTAAAAGAGTTAATAAAGGGTATAGATAAGTGTCTGGCCCATTAGAAGAGTTCATTCATTTGGGGCTCCTCTTATTGGTATCGCTAATGAGGAAGATCAGACCAGCTACAGAATAAGAAATTGCAATTTCTCTATACAACCAAGTAGTACGGTGATTTAAAATTTGTTCCCCTGATACATAAGTAATCAAAATTAAAAGCGATAAAGGGGATATAAAGCAGATCAAAGGGCAAAGAGATTTCTACTAACACAGCACTATGGTATAAATGAAAAAAATTGACCACACTCAAAAAAATATGAATTAATTACCTATATTAGTTCAAGAAGTATGCCAAATGGAAAAAAAGTGTGCCAAAATAAACTGCTGTAAAACTCATCAAAAATTACCATACACACACACACACACACACACACACACACCACACACACTCGAAGACCTGGGACCAGATCATTTAATGAGCACATGCTTTCAAACTTTCCCAAAGCAGAAACCTCAGGATGTATAATAGTCAAAAGACTTGGAAGAAAATGAAATTCCCCCAGTTCATTGAAAAGCTACCCATCTGCACACACAAAACTGCATAAAATAAAACTATAGGCCAACATTTTTCTCACAAGCTTTCGTTAATTCAGAATTTGTTAGTGCCTCTAGTATAATATGACATTCAACAGGGGACTGGGTCTGGCAGTGCTGTTCCTCACTCTGGAGTCTCTTCCAGGTACTTCTGGACTTTCATAGTGCCAAGCCAGAGCCACAAAGGAGGGAGCCTCCAGTCAGGCAATCAGAAGATTAAGGTGATCCAAGAGCCAAGAAATACAGGAAGATAAATAGAGGAAAAGGGATTCACAAGAGATATGAAGAAGTGAGACGGTAAAAGATTGCAATAATAATAATAGCAACGCTGAGGAACAAAGCAGTACATTCTGTTAGTGAAAGCATAAATGGATTTGATCCTTCTAGTAAGCAATTGGAAATGTGATTTAGAACCTTAAATGCACATACTCTTTGACTTAATAATCCAACTTCTATCAGTTCATTCTGGGGAATTAATTTGAAACAAAGATATACAAACAAGGATGGATTTAATAGAATTTTGATAGCAACCCCCCCCCCCAAAAAAAAAACCCCAGGAAACAACCTTAATGTCTAAAAATGAAGATAGTTAAATAAATTAGGAACTATTCATATGATGGGTTATACAATAATCAAAAGCAATGTTTTAGGACAAAATTAATAAAATGTACACAAGTCTACGACTGTTTAGGGGGAAAGGTGGAACACAAAGTACAAAATACAATCTAAACTGTATTTAAAAAAATATGTGTATATGGCAAAGACCACTAGAAGAAAAGAAACCAATATGAATACAGTCTCTGGGTGCTGGGACTTAGTGAATTATTTTCTTTTATATATTTTTCCTGTTGTATTTCCTGAGTTGTATTATTTTTATGATCAGAAAAAAAATAGAAAACCTGAATCACTCTTGTCTCTGTTTAAATATTCATATGAATGATAAAGGAAAAAATTTAAGTCTTCATTCACCAAGGAGAAAAACGTTTACAGCACACCCAAGAATTCCAATCCTCCAAACCTGAATCTTAATAATGATACACTTTAAACCATAGAAGGAAAAAAAAAAAAACCCAAAAAACAAAAAACTAATCCCTCAAAAAGGAGAAGCGACTTCTCTAGGGGGGGGGGGGGGGTTCCAAACACCACTCAACACTCACATAGAGGGGCAGGCTTTCAAAGGTTGAGTGAGCATCAAGAGTTTCTCAGAGTAATACACACACACACACACACACACTCAATCATGTCATCCCAAGCTGACAGCTCAAGCTAGTTGGTGGCCCAGGAGTCCGCCCGCCAGTCCTTCGTGCCTCGGGCGTACCTGTTCGTGGTGCGCGGTACCGGGGGCGCGGGGCTCCTGAGCATCCTCAGCGCTGGGGAGGTGCCCTGGGGATCCTCCTCGATTTCGTCCACCAAAAGCCTGCACCAGGGGAAAAAACTAAGTTGTCACACATCGCGGGGGAGCTGTTGGCTGGCAGGTGCGTTGCGCTCCAAGCCTAGCCAGGGCATCTTGGCGCACCCCGGCTCGGGGGACAGTTCCCCAAGCACGGAGTTGGAAATGCCTTAGGAAGGGTAGGAAAGGATAGCAAAGACCAGAATGGAGAGCCCGGGAGGCTGTAGGGAACCCGACGGCAGGTCCTGCTCCGCAGCTGTCTCACCCACAGCGACGCACACTGGAGCCCCCACCACCCTGACAGGTCCCTCACCACCCATGGCAATGCCCACGGATCCAAGAGTCACCCCTCTGCCCCACCCCTTCCTCAGGCAGCTGCTGCCCCTTGGCTTGTTCCCCTAGCTACCAAAAGTCTGTGCGCCCAAGGCAAGCCGATCTGCGCCCAGAGCTCTCGAGGCGCACGGCGGGGCGCACAGCAAGGATGCGCGGGACCCGCAGGTCGATCGGCTAGGGCCCGGGATTACCTGGAGCGGGCGGGCGCGTCGATGGGGCACCAAAGCAGGCGCAGCAGCAGCAGTAGTAGCAGGCTGGAGAGCAGGGAGAGCAGCGCGCACCCTGGCCGTACCCTGAGCCATGGGCGCCGCCGCCGCCGCCGATGCCCGGGCGAAGCGTAGCCGGGGCGGCCCCAGCTCGCTACTCCCGCCGCTGCCGCCGCCGCCGCCACCACGGCCGTAGCCACGCACACCCCCAGTGTTCAAAGGCGGCGGCGAGGGGCGACAACAGCGCGCAGCGAGGGCCCGCACACTCTGGGCGCCCTGAGCCCAGCCTGCACAGTCTTGGCGGGGAGAGAAAAGAAGCTGTGTCCTGGCTCTTTCTTCTCCCACCCAGCCACGGCCCGCCGAAGCTCGGCGCTCCGCTGGCAGATGACGATTCACCGAGCTCGCCGCCTGTCCTCCCGGAGGCGCTCCTAGCTGCTGCGGGCTCTGGTCGCTGCAGCCGCCGCTGCCTCTGCCGCCACCGCGCGGGGTCACCTGAAGGTTGGGACGCGGAGCTCAACTCCATGCTGATTGGGCTTCAACTTTTCCGCGCCCTCACCACCTTCTGAGTGCCCGCTTGGCTCCTCTGAAGCCCACGCAGCCCACCTAATCACACCACAACTGGGTCTGTGTCGCAGCGGTGGAGAGGAAGGACTTGGAGGAGCGAAAGAGGAAAGAAAAAAAGGGCCCACTTCAGAAACTTCGAAAACTGTGGAGTCGCTCTACTGGATCCTCCCACACATTAAAGGCTGCCAGGACTTGGAGGTTGGATGGAAACAGTAACTTCCCCTTCTTAAACGCAGACTCATTGATACCAGAGACTAGGAAATCTTCAGGGGTGGGCGAGGACTAAATCCACTCCCTGCCGGTTTTTGTAAATAGTTTTATTAGAACACTTACACCTGTGGCCACTACTTTACGCTACTCTGTACTATCCATGACCATATGAGGCTGTGGGATTTACCGTTGCTTTGGCACTACAAGAGCAGAACTGAGGAGAGGTGACAGAGATTCCTGTAACCCTCAAAGCCCATATCCTATCTGACAAGTTCCAGAAAAAGTTGGCCTTCTGCTGTTAAAGAGCCCATTAGCCTGAGGCTCTCTCTGTACTTTTAGCGCCTACCTAACAAGGAACCTGATTTACGAATATAAAGACCTCTTTAAGTTTCAGCCGGTCACAGGCAACCAGGTTTTAGCCAATCATAGACAGCCAACTCATCACATCACACCCAAATAAGGCAGCCACCTAGATATAGCCAGTCAATCAGGTGATTTCTCTACTAAGCCTCTGTGTTTCCCCAATAAAAGCTTGATGCTCGCTCACACTGCAAGCTTCAGCTCACTCAGTCACTTCTGATTCTAAGTGATACCTGGTTTATGTGTACTCTTTGCTCAAATAAACTGCTAAGTTGGCCTACAAAGTTTTTCTTGTATTGCTGCTATGGGTTGAATGTTGGTATCCCTCCAAAATTCATGTGTTGAAACTTTAATCCTCAATATGATGGGTTGGGTCATAGGGCCTTTGGAGGTCATAAGGGTAGTTTTCTCACAATGGGTGACAACCCTTAAAAGATGAGGCAGGAAAGGGTTTGTTGTCTCTCCACACCCCACCCCCACCCATGCCACCACCCCCCCATCCTCTCTCTCTCTCTCTCTGTCCTCTCTGCATGGTGAGGTAAGCCACACCTGTAATCCCAGCCGCTCAAGAGGCTGAGGCAAGAGGATCACAAACTAATGAGGCTCTGAGTCACTTAGTGAACCTGTCTCAAAATAAAAAAATAATAATAATTTTAAAAAAACAGACTGGGGCTGGGGCTGGGTCTCAGTGGTTAAGTGCCTGTGGGTTCAATCTCCAGTAGAGGTCTGCTATCAGCCAACCAAGAAGTGTGTTTTCACTGGAACCTGGCCATGGTAATATCCTGATCTGTAACTTTGAAAAATTAATCTCTGTTATGTCAGCCACTTAGTTTATGATACTTTTGTTATAGCAGCAGGAACTAAGATTCCTGGTTTAGATCATCTTGGCTTAGACCATGTCATTTACTGAAATGGTTAGTTTCTCATTTATTGCTGGAGAGTCATCCAATGATGATGGGATCTAGTCAGATTCTTGAATTATTTCATTAGAAATGGGTCTCAGCTCTTTCAGCCCTAAGCTAGCTCACTCAACTACATGTGGCCCCTGGGCTGCCCAAGCCCCCACCTCCACCCAAGCAACCTTCCTAGTCTTTAGACCTAACTATGTTTGGGAAACATCAATTAATCACAGACCTCAAAGTGGTTATATGAAGGCACACAAGATTATTCTACTTTAGTATAGATTGGAGATTTTTTTCCAACCCTTGGACTTCACCATCTTGTCAGCAGCTTTATAAAAGCATTATGAAAAAGCTGAAACTTTTAAAAAGCTTTAATGAGTTAACATTAATGAATTACTTTTCAAAGTAACGAAAATATTTAGATTTCTACCGGAGTCTCTTAAAGGCATAAGGCCTTAACCTGAAAGAGACCAATGTAAAGAAACTTCGGGGAGCAAGTACACTAGAGAACCAGATAAAGCTGACACCAGCGAGTTTGTCACAAGAAAAACAACATGTCAAGAAGGGAAATACAAGATTGCCTAGTCCCTTTCTGTTAATTTTGCAAATACTCTAAAAATATTTGATTGAAAACGAACTAGAACTTTGTACATAGGGGCTGACCAATACATGTTGATCATTGAGGGCTGGGTTTTTGGCTCAGTGGTAGAGCACTTGCCTAGCATGTGTAGGGCACAGGGTTTGATCCTCAGCACCACATAAAAAAAATAAACTAATAAAATAAAGTTATTTTTAAAAACTGTTTGATCAATGAATAAAAACACTTTATAACGAATGCTATTCTTCAGAGGAGAAAGAGAAAGAAGCTGAAAATAAATGTGGTTAATGTTAGTTGAGAAGCAGGTTGAACAAATATTAGCTGCAGGGTGGACTGAATACTGGACCCTCACCCTCACCCGTCTGGTTCCTAATCGCTTTTTTGCCTCAAGGCTGAACATTCAACCCCACTCAAGGCTGAACAATCGACCCCCACCTGTATGGTGCAACTGAAACCCATGGAAACCCATATCTGACCCCTGCCGCATTTGCCTGGAGGAAGAAGATGACACCTTTAGCAGTTACTGTATGATCCAATCACTGTACACCAACAAGACAGCCTGCAGACCCAGAGACCCCATTAGATTTTGGCTATAAAAACTCTCTCCTGCCAGGCCTCCCTCTTTTGTTCTCTCTCCCTCCCTCGCTTTGCCCTTTCTCCCTCTCTCTTACTCTTTCTTCTCTCTTTCTTTCTTTCTCTTTCCCCACTCTCTCTTTCTCTTTCTCTTTTTTCTCTTCCTTCCCTGTTAATCAGATACCACCACAATAAAGATCTCTTAGTTGCTCTGAGTGTCATGGTCACTCTCCTTTCAGTTAAGCTAAGATTTCCTTTTATAGATACCACTGTAGTTAAATATATACTAATCAAGAAAGAAAAAGCTTCTACTTTTACATAAGATTGACATTTTTAGGGACCTCATTGCTTATCTGAATTTGATATAATAAAGTAATACTGTATTCAAATAGGGCTAAAATGATATAGTAATAGAATTATACATATTTGAAAGTTTAAGCCCTCTGTTAAATAAGTAGTTGTGGCACAATCACCATGCAAATGGAAGAGTTGTCTGGATTTGGAAGATATTCTGAATTTTCTCTCAGTGCAGAAAAGTGGTGCAGACAGCTAATACCAAAGATGGTTTGCAGAAAAAGAAAAGGGCATTATTGTATCAGCCAGGAAGCTGCAATTTCACCTAATTTACTGAAGTCTAATATTTCAGCACAGCTGGGCTCAAAGCAACTGCAGAAGACTCAACTTTGCACTGGGTTCCCCAGACCAGGATGCAAATGAAGTTGCTTTTTATCAAGCCATTGGCTATCAGCAGGAGACTCACAAAAGCCTATTTTAATTGGAAAACCAAGTGTAAATTTGCAATGGGAATTCTGAGCCCAGTGTTAAAATTTGACGGTGGGGAACTTTACCACAAACTTAGTAGTTTAAGATTTGGATTGGAAAGACATGAATTATCTTCCTCATCCTTGAGAGAGAAAGGAACGTGATAAAAACATGAGCTTTAAATATTATCAGCCATAGAACCAATACCAAGTATACATTTGCAGGTTTGACCAGCGACCCCAAAGTAATAATTGCCACTGCAGTAATTTGAGATTCTGCAGAGGCCATGAACAGAAACAAGATAAGGTGAAAAAGCTGCTACCTGTTTTAGGTACGGGAGCAGACCTTACCCACCACATGGGGCCAGCATTTGCCTCTCATTTGGCCTTTATTATTATCATCATGAATGCCATTACTTTCACAAACTGACTTTTCAAAAGGTGACTGGGAAGTTTGATATATAAACAATGTCCAATTAATTGAAAATCTTTCTGGAAATTGAAGCTATTTCTAATATTTGGTGTCAGACTGTGTATAGTGGAAATGTGTGATTTTTCGACAACAACAAAAAAGATGATTCAAGGGAAAGCTAGAAAGGTATAAAATTTCCATAGGCATGGATATTTGGGGGTTCATAAAGATGGAATCCAAATATCAGGTGTCCTATATACACATATATATATTTATATATGTGTATTTTGTCATATATACATATATGACACACTATAAAAATATATGTTTGGGGACTGGGATTGTGGCTCAGCGGTAGAGTGCTCGCCTAGCACTGGCGGGACCCGGGTTCAATTCTCAGCACCATATAAAAATAAAGGCATGCCCCGCGACGACCACCGCCACCCCCTGCCCTGCAGCCGCCGCCACCGCCGCCGCTTGTATCGCCGCCGCCTCTGGACCAGCTGTATGATTAGGCCACAATCTTCAATGAGTAAACATATTCCTCAGTTCTGTGGTGTTCTTGGTCACACATTTATGGAGTTTCTGAAGGGCAGTGGAGATTACTGCCAGGCACAGCACGACCTCTATGCAGACAAGTGAACTGTAGAAATTCATTACTACTCCACCAAGAAGCCCCCATAAGAGTGGTTAACCTGGACACAGACGTATTGAATTGAAAATCCACCGAGCATTTTACAAGAGTTCTGACCTGGATGGGGTAAACCTCAGTGCACTTCCTTTCTATTGCCTCAGTATTACTGGATTGAAGAATTGCTGCTTCTTGTTAGGAGGTTCATTTCATTTCCCATTACTCCCAACTTCATACTCAAAGCACTGAGAATATCAAGTGGAGTATATTGAAGTAGACTTCAGTTACTTTGCATCATTTCTGTATTCAATTTTTTAAATTCTTTCATAACCCTATTGAGTGTTTTTTAACTAAATTAACATGGCTCGAATGAACCGCCCTGCTCCTGTGGAAGTCACATACAAGAACATGAGATTTCTTATTACACACAATCCAACCAATGCAACCTTAAACAAATTTATAGAGGAACTTAAGAAGTATGGTGTTACCACAATAGTAAGAGTATGTGAAGC